CTGAGAAATCAAAGCAACGCACCAGCCCCGCCAGCTGCCCAGAGCCACCAGGGAGGTGAGCTGTGTGGGTGTGAGTGTGTATGCATTTGGGGCTGGCTCAGGAATAGAATGGTGTCCGAGCTGTGGCCCCACGACACCAACAGGGTGGGGAGACACTTGCTGCCAAGAATCAGAGCATCACGTCCCTCATCCAGCTTTCTCCACCTGTGTCTAGACTCCCTACTTACTACAAAGGGTCTCAGGCCCGGGGCAAGGCTTTGCCCATCTCTAAGTGGAAGGGCCCTCAAGTCCACACCCAAGTCTGGCATCTGGCTGTGGGGCAAAGTCAAACATGGACAGGCTCTGACAGATTCTCTGAAGACTGAGGAGGTGGGTCTGAAGAGGGAGGTGGGTACAGGAGCAGGGAGGGGGCACAGTTGGCAGGAGATGTAAGGAGCAGTGTTCACATATTGCTAGGATGCCCCACCATGGGGTCTAGGGCCATTGGGCACAAGCAGACCCTAGTCATTCCCATGGGCAGAAGCCAGGGATCCATCTGTACTTCATTTGATACCAGGGCAGCTGAGCTGGCTGGGCTCTGGGTCCTGGGTCCTCACTGGCCTGGTAAGAGTCACCTGAGATTGGCAACCTAAGTCCTGTGCTGAGTGTCCAGATCCTCAGTGGAGCCATAAACAGAGAGATAAACAGCCTGAGGGAAACTGAGGCAAAGCTTAGTCATGTCGACTTGTCTGAGCCTGCCTCCCTTTCTCAAGGCTGTGTCCATCCAAGTGAGGGGCCGAATTTCAGCCACCAGGAGGCACTACATACATGTTCTAGACTCCTAGGCAGGTGTATTGCAAGACTGAGCTAGAGGAGGCACAGGCTGAGGGAAGGCGTAGCTGTGGGGTCCCCACCATGGAAGGTCAACAATCTGAACTCATCACCCAGGCTTCCGGGAACCTGCAAAGAGAGACACCCATGGCCTCACGGCCTATCTGAGCACCTTGACCCACAGAAAGCTCTTGGCTTCATCTCCACCCTGCCACACCCAGGTGTGGGTGCTAGTTGGATCAGAGCCAGAGCACTGGCAGAAACAAACCTCACTGGCAAAGGCTGGCTGCCTGTCCCCCAGTGGACACTAGCCGGGGATCCAGAGGAGTTGGAGGCTAGCCTGGGGCAACTGGATGTCAAGATTATACTGCCCATTCTTCAGGGCTGGACCTGGACTTGCCAGCTTGCCGACTAGTGCCACTATCAGGAGCCCCAGGGCAAACAAAGCCTGACCCTGACTCTGGAGAGAGACGAGATAGCCAGCTAAAGACTCGTCACAGATCAGCCTGAAGTCAAGTGTGGGAGCCTCAGTGTGAATCAAAGGTGGAAGTCATGGGACAGGGGTAGAAGGGAGGAACAGTCTGGGTACCATCCCCCCTCAAGCTCTGTCAATACAGCTTTCTGGACTGGCCAGGATCCTGGTGTCCCGGTCACAGTGAATGAACAGTGGTCAGAGGACCCACTGCCCCCTTTGGACTAGCAGGGCTATCCTGATATGGGTGCAGCCTGAGTGCAGCCCTCTGTGAGTGTGGCCTATGATACTTGGCCTCTGGTAAGGGCTCACTCAGCAGCGTGAGGAGCAAGAACAAGAGGCTAGCCTCTCTTGCTGCCTTCCTCTGCAGCCCTGAACTCAGTACAGCACGGCTCCTCCCCTTCCTTCCTTAGCTCCTGGAATGTGGTCCTGTGTGGAGAGTGTGGACTCCCTCCTCAGGCCAGTCATTTGGCAAGCCCTTCCCTTGTCCCAGAGACAGGCAGCAAAGATGGCCCCAAAGACACACTGTGCACCCAGCAAAGACACATCTTCATCCCCACCTCACCTGCTCCAGGTGGGAGCCAGAAAGGGGGCTCCACCACCCAGAAGAGTGTCATCACCTCCATTACAGCACTTTACTGAGATGGATACCTCCCACCCTGAGTGATAACCCTCACAGTTTGAATCCCACTGGGAAGATGCTGCAGTGACCATAAGTGTCCAACAGGGGGCAGAGTCTGCCGAGATGGGGGCATGATCTGGAGGCCCAGGAATGGGTGGGGCTTCTGTGATTATCAAAGAAGGTGGGTCCAGGACAGTGATGGTGGTTCATGCCTTTAATCCCAGTATTTGGGAGGCAGAGGCAGTCAGGTTCTTTGTGAGTTCAAGACCAGTCTGGTCTACAAGAGCTAGTTCCAGGACAGACTCCAAAGCTACACAGAGAATTCCTGTCTTCAAACAAACAAACAAACAAACAAAAGAAGAAAGTGGGTGGGTCAGACTGTATCTTACAGCCCAGAGGTAGTCATTGCTGTTCCATCTTGCAGGTGGAAACACTGAGGCTGAGATACACTCAGACTATCATGGTGGGGCATACCCAGAATTCCAGAGTGTTTGCCAGGCCTGTTGATCAGAAACGTCCCCACATTGCCCTGCCTGGATGGAAAGGACATGAAAGAAGCCTGTGGGCAGCCCAGCTCGTGACTAAGCCCACTTTACCTATGGGCAAAGTGAGGCCTAGAGAGGCAAAAAGGTTCATGGTCACAAGCAGGATGATGGGCTGAGAGCTGAGGCTACTTCTGGAAATGACCTCATGAAGGTGGGTAGAGTTGGTACGGGGCCTCATAACTCTTGAGACTTCGAGGCCTAGAATAGGCTGAAACAGACCTTCCAAGGCCTTCCAGAGATGGAAGCATGAACACACTAGAGGCAGGAAAGCTTGAGAACAATGGCCATGCCACTGGCCCTGGCCTCCACTCTCAGAGCGGAGGACAGCCATGAGTCAAGGGGCTTCCCAAGAGTCAAGGACAGTTCTGGTGGATGCCACTTGGCCCTGATCGCAGCAAGCAGGCCTCCCTGACTACCAGGCCTCCTGTCCAGTAGCCTCTTCCTAGAAGACTGGCCCTTTGATGCCGGGCAGGGAAGTCCTTCTGATGTCAGGACGTAGTACTTCCTGCTGCCTTCTCAGTCACTTTCTCCACTCGGCTTAAGCGAGAACCTGGGGTTCATCTCTTGTGCCAAGTTCTGGAAACTAAACAGCCAAGGGCCAGAGACCCCCGTCCCCTCGTGCAGCAGAAGTGGAGAAGTGAGATGAAGCCCAGTCCCTACGAAGCCCGAAAGCCATTAATGCCATGGGCAGAGCTGACTCTGGCTTTCAGCGTTGTTACCAAGGTTGGCAGTCTGTCCCCAAACACTGAATGGTATCCTCTTGGGGGTCAGAGTGGGGTACAGGTGGGTGCCTCCGGCACAGTAGCAACTCCCCTTGAAGTAACAACTCCAGCCACAAGGAAATTCACAGCCCAAGGCCATCCACAACTCTGGCAGAGTTATAGGGACCCAGGCACAGTGCCAGGTTCCAGAAACTCCTACCAAGCAGGACAGATAAACACACAAACAGATCTCAGATGAAAGTTTCCAGCAATGGGATGCGGAGACATTGCTGGAAGTGACAGAAAGCAGGGGCATTAGTATCTGAGAGGCAAGGGTGCAATGGTCATGGTCCAAGGCCTCTATGTCAGGGACCGAGGTGGCCTAAATAATCAGGGAATGAGCTCCGGGACATGTGCAGCCTTGGGAAGTCCCTGATGGGAAAACATGGATGGAGCAGTAGGGGAGCGTGGAGTTGACAGATCTCAACCTCATGCCGTTGTGTATTTCTGGAGTATCCCAGATACTTGCTAAGCCTCCAGTATCCACGTCTCAACTCCAAAAGGAAAGGAGCCTGAAGCCATGTCTACTAAGTCATCAGTAGGGTAGATGGCAAAAAGGACCAGACATGGATAACATCATAGCAGTACCCATAGAGGTATAGCCAATGTGGACCTGAGATATGGCTAGAGCCTTCACCTACTCCAGGAGCCAGGGCAGGTGAATCTCTTTCCAGAGAAGTGTCACATGCGAGGCCCTTCCAGACCTTTTTGAAATGCTAGAGATGGAACCCAGAGCCTGAATGCTAGACAAGTGCTCTACCCCTGAGCCACACCTCCAGCCCCTCACTGGAGGATTCTTGGCAGACAGTCTAAAGATGGACTACACATTCCCAGCACTCTTTTTACATTTTATTTTTAGATACGGTCTCACTAAGTTGCCCAAGCTGGTCTTGAACTTGCTCTGTATCCTAGGCTGGTCTTGAATTACCAGTCCTGCCTCAAGATTCCCAAGTACCTGGGATGACAGGCCTGTGCCATAAGGTTTGGTTCAGTTTACCCATTTTATAAAATCATTTGTTTATTCATTCATGAAAATGTATATTCATTCAGTGAGACAGACTCTCACTGCGATGTCTGTATGGCTTATAGTAGAATATAGCAAGGATGACCTTGAACTTGAAAGCTTCATGGCTTCACTTCGGACGTGCTAGGAAAACAGGCATATATCACCGTGCACAGTTTATACAATTCAGGGACTGGAACCCTGGGCTTCGTGCACGCTAGGCAAGCACTCCACCCACTGTGAGCCACGTACTCATCCCTGCCCAGCTTTGTTTTGGTTTGGTTTTTCCAGGCAGGGTTTCTCTGTGCTATCCTGAAACTCACAGAAATCCACCTGCCGCTGCTCCCCACCCCACCCCACACGCCCCAGTGCTGGGATTAAAGGAGTGTGCCACCACCGCCCAGCAGCCCTTCCCAGTTTTAAGTGCACAATTCTGGAGTAGTAGGGGTGCCCACAGTAGGCAACCACCACTTTGTCTAGGTCTAGATCTTTCTCATGACCCCCCCACACACACACACACACAAAGAAGCCCATGGCCTTCTCCCTTGAGCTGGTACAGCTCACACCTTTCCCTTCTGTCCCTGCCTGCTCAACTGCCCAGCTACCTGGTGCCAGCAGGTGAAGGCACCTGCCAGCCAGGCAGTTCCTGGAAGCCAGCTGCTGCTGAGCAAACAGCCCCAGAGGGATAGGGTGTCGACAGGGGCGGGGACAAGCCTTAGCTTCTCCTCCCTTTGTCCCTCCCTCAGCCTGAAGTCCAGGAGGGCCATTGGCCAGGTGAGGCCTCGTGTACCTTTCCTGGCCTAGCACAACCCTCCAGAGACCGGCCTTGCCCCAGCCTGAAGCTTGGCCTCCCTGTGGGGGCCGTGAGGCCGGGTGAATGAACAGCCAGGCCTCCCCAGAGGAGGCTAGGCCTCCCAGGCCTGGGCCAAAGAGCTTCCTGTTCACAGAGGTAGGCTCCCGCCCCCAGGACAGACAACTGAGGGTAGAAAGGAGGCCCCAATGTCTCTGCCTCCCAGCAGGCACATACTCTACTACTTGCTGCTGGAGCTCGTCTGGAGACACTAAGAGTTTCTATCAGGGTCAGAAGCAGGCAGGGGTTGGGTGGGGGCGGACTGGCACCCGAGGGTGGAGCACCTTTTCCTGCCTGCAGGTATGACTACTGGCCATCCAGGCAGGTGAATCCCCACTTCCCAGACCATGACAGACATAAGTTTAGGGATTGTTTTGCTTGTTTTGCGTTTGTTTGGAGATGTTTTTCGTTTTTGAGATAGAGTGACTAGGTAGCCCAGGCTGGCTTTATACTCATAGATTCTGAGTCTGTCTGCCTCAGTGCTAGGATTACAGGGATGGGCCGTCGTTTGCCTGGTTAGAAGCAGTCTTTGCTAGGAAGTAGCCCATGGCACAAAGGAACCTGAAGGCGCTTCCCAGGGTATCCACCCAGGATCTGAGCTCCAGGTGGGAAAGCAGCCAGGTCCCTGTCCTTCAAGCGTGAGCACACAACTTCCCAGAGTAAAGGGAGTCCATGGGAAAGTCAGGGCAGACTCCCACAAAGGGGACAGATAGTTCCCTGGTGGGCCCCCAGGGAAGCTTCTGTGGATGATGGCCAGACAGGCAGAAACTGCAGTGGGCAGAACTGGCCCTTGGGTGACACCCACATGGCCTTGCCCACCTCCTGCCCCTTATACTCCCACGGGAGCCTGCCCTGGGTCCTCACTCCTCTGTTGGCTTCTGCAGATGAGGAATGCATCAGGGGTTCTGAAAACAGCCGGAGCTTCCCTGGTGTCAGCGACCTGGCTTCCACCCAGCCCCCCTCCGGCAATGCCCACAGTGGCAGCCGGGCCACAGATGGATCGCGTGGACAACGGCTCGCAGGGCCCCCCGCAGCTCTTCCTCACCAGCGCATTGGCCCGAGGCGTTTCAGGCGTATTTGTATGGACTGCTCTACTGCTAACCTGCCACCAGGTAAGGACCCCAGAACCCTGCTGGGCCTCGCAATCTCTATGGGACCTGGCAAGGCTCAGATGGACCCCAGGGACAGATGCTGGGATCATGGGGCCTCCAAGGACAGCCCCCAGTACTGGACACCGCAGGTGTGGTGTCCATCTATGGCCCTTCTCCAGGGCTTGCTTACATGCAGGGGCCAAATCTAAGATGGGAGGTCTCTGCCAGACAGATGGCAGTTTGCAAGGTGGGTATCCCCAGTCATGCCTGAAGCCTCTTATTCTCTACTCTCCAAGGTCAGTGATTGGACCCAGGTCACAGACAAGAATACTAAGGCTCAGAGATGACCCGGGGGCTTCTCCAGGCTCGCACAGCTGGAAGAGAAAGGGCTTTTTCCCTCCAGGAATGGCCAGTGCTTGGACTTTGCTCTATAGAGAACCTCAAGCCAGACACAGGGAGTTTGGGGAGGAGGGGCATGAAGATGGGGGAAGGAGCTAGCGGAGTGGGGACTGGGAGTATGGAGCAGGGACAGCGGAGAACTGGGGGGTTCTGGAGGCAGTGAGCTGAGAGGTGGGGAGTGGGGCCAGGAGAGTAGTGGAAGTAAAGAGCCGGGGCTTGGGGTGGGGCAGGCAGAGTGGAGAACTGAGAAGAAAGATGGGGATGGTTGGAGAGCTGGAGTCAAAGAGCTGAGGAATTGGAGCTTGGTGCCAGGAGCTGAAAGCTCCAAGCCCTCTGGAACACACATTTGGCAGCAGGGAGGGCCTGAGCTGAGGCAGTAGGGGAGCCAGGGGCAGGAGGTAAGAGCAAACACCTCTGCCTGTGACAGCCACCTGCTGACTGGTACCTGGCCAGGTGTGCCTCGGTAACCAGGATACTTGGGAGACCCACCTGTGCCTGAGGGCAGGGCAGACAGGTGTCAGCCACATGTTAGGATCTGAGGGATGACCCTGGGAGGGGGAGGGGCTAGACAGAGAGGGGATCAACACCTCCATTTACAAACGGAGAAACTGAGGCAAGAGAGGGCAGCAGCTTGCCAAGGTCACCAGCCAGGCAGTGCCAGCCTGGGAAAGGTCTCCTGCTGGCTGGTCACATGTCCTTCCCTAGCGGCTGAGGAGGGAGGAAGGGACTGATAAGGAGCTGGTCTCTGACGACAGCAGCCTTCGCATCCCACGCAGCCCCTGCACACACACAGCTCCCTATAAAAGCGTGACCTCCATACCCCGTAGGCCACCTCCCCAAGAGCCTTCCCCACAGTGGCCTGGAATGGGGAGGAGGCACCCAGCACTCTGCCTACTTCCTCTTAACGACTCTGTATAGAGGGGCTTAGGGGCACAGGCTAACCCAAGGGGGTTACAAGTGAAGGCCTCCCTGGGGTCCATAGTGTGTTCAAGACAAGCCTGAACAAGCTAGTGAGACACCCCCATCCCTCCCAAAAGAACTAAAGAAATAGAATGGCTCAGTAGTAGAGTCCTGACTGACTGCACAATCCTGGGTTCTGTTCCTGGAACTGGGGAGCGGGGTATGGGGAGTATGCTCCTGTTCTGTTTCTTGTAGAAACATATAGAAACTTCAGAACACTTTAAGGTGAACGGTATAATCACCTTGTAGCCCAGGATGGCCTCGAACTCCCTATGTAGCAGAGGATAACCTTGAATTCCTGATCTTCCTGCTTCCATTTCCCAAGTACTGAGATTCCAGTTGTGCATCGCACCTCCAGGTTCATATGGAGCTGAAGTGCTAGGGAGGCCCTCTACCAACTGAACCACATCCCCAGCCCTTTCCTTCCATTTTTGTTAGGCTTGTAGGACACTTGAACCCCTACTTGGTTTCTTATTGGGATCTCAGGTGACTCATCCTATCAGAGGACTTGCCACAGAGCTCTGAACGTTGGCATCGTTTGTACTGACTATATAATGTTCCTTCACACACAGGCTCTGTGGTGTGAGCCTGGCCTCCCATGGTGAGCGCAGCCCCAGCATTTGCCCCTGTGTTTCACTATTATGAACCTCTTTGCACACAATTTCTTTCCTCTTTATTTCTGAATAGGGACAGATTCCTAGAAGAGGTCAAAGAGCAAGAGGCCTTCCATGGTCCCCAAGTTGAGAGCCTACCTGTGCTACAGGTTACTGAGTTCTGACACTTAGCAGGACCCAGGATACTTTTCTTGGATGAGTGAATGAGTGTCCTGACTTCTGGAATGTTCTTTAAGATGATCCCACAGAGTATCAAAATACATTACAGGCCTGAAAATGTCTAAGGAATGAATTTTAGGCTTGGTATGACAGACAGGCTTGTTACTTCGCCACTGGGGGGAGGCTGAGGAAGAAGGATGCACTCAAGGCTAGCTTGGGCTACAGTGAGACTCTGTCTCAAAAGCAACAACAGTGATTTTTTTAAAAAAAGATTTTTACACCATATCACAGAAGCAAGTAAAGTGTAAGGGTGGCTAGCCTCAGTCTCTTATGTGTCTATCAAAACAGGAGATGGTTCAGCTGGTAAAATACACCTGTCGTGTAAGCGTGGGAACCAGAGCTCCATCTCTAGGACTCACAAAATGTGCCAGGCACGGCAGGACACATCTATAACCCCAAGGAGGAGTGACCAATCAGATCCCTGAAACTTACCAGCCAGCTGTAAGTTTAGCCACATCAATGAGCTCCAGGTTTCAGTGAGCGATCTCATTCCATAATACCAAGAGTGGTGTTGGAATAACCTCTGCCCCTCTTCCCAAGAGTAAAAAGAGAACTAGGGGTGTGGCTCAGTGGTAAAGCATGTGCCTGCAAATCCCCCAAGGAGAGGCTGGCGAGAAGGCTCAGCCGTTAAGTTAACAGCGCCGATGCTCTTGCAGAGGACCCAGCACCCACAGTGGATGGCTATCAACTGTCTGCAACTCCAGCTGCAGGGGATTTGGCGCCCTCTTCTGGCCTCCGTAGGCTCCCTCACATGTGTCATAGCCTCAATGTAGATGCTATCACATTTTTATTTGTTAATCGCAAATACATTTTTTTCTTTGTGGTGCCTGGGGCTTTACATGTGCTAGACAAAGTGCTTTCCCAACCAAGCCACGCTCCTTGCCCATTAACACTATTTTAAAAGACATTAAATAAAGTCTGGCTGTGGTGGCTCACACCTTTAATCCCAGCACTCATGCAGAGGCAGGGAGAGCTCAATTAGTCTACATAGTGAATTCCTGGTCAGCCAGGTCTACATAGTGAGTCAGGCTACACCTATCTCAAAAGAAAAATATGTTACTATGTATTTGTATATATTAAGCATGTATTCCATTTGGAGGGGGCATGTCCTAGGGATTGAATCCAGAGCCTTGCTCTTGTTAGAAAATGGACTCTACCTTAGCCAAGGCCCTGCCCTTTACTAGGTAGGCACTCTATCATTGAGGCATACCTTAGTCTTTGTGTGTGTGTGTGTGTGTGTGTGTGTGTGTGGGCATGTGTGTGGGGGGGGCATGTGTGTGTGTGTGGGCATGTGTGTGTGTGTGTATGTGTCTGTGTGCATGTGTGTAGAACAGAGGTCAACCTCCAATGTCATTCCTGAGACTCCATTCACCTTGCCTTTAAGGGAAAGTCTCTCTCTGAGACCTGGAGTTTTCTGATTTGGCTGTACTGGCTGGCCAATAAGTTCTAGAGAGCTACCTATCTATACCTCCCCAGCACAGGGATTACAGGCATGAATCATCGTACCTAGTTTTTTTTGTCCATGAGTGCTGGGGATTTGAACTCAGGTCCTTATGCTTGCAAAGCAAGCATTTTACCACCTGAGCCACCTCCCCAGCCCTATTCTCTAGTTGGAGACAGGGATGCTAGGTGGATCTTGTACCCACCCACAATGCTCCTGTCATAAGCAGGTTTGACTCTTCATCTAACGTGTGCTACAACATACCTCTGATTACTTCCACTCGCTATACCCATCCTGTGCTAGGGAGAACATTAGGCAGTGTAGGAGAGGGAGGGCAGCCTGGAGCTCTGCCTGGCTCTAGCTCCTCTTGCATCTGGGCTGGCACCCATGTGGTGGACAGCAGGGCCAGGAGCAAGGCAGAGGAGCCACGGAAACTCTTCTGCCACAGATCTACTCCCACCTGCTTTCCTACACCGTCCCCCAAGAGCAGCGCTTCGTCATCCGCCTCCTATTCATTGTGCCCATCTACGCCTTCGACTCCTGGCTCAGCCTCCTCCTCCTCGGGGGCCATCCATACTACGTCTACTTCGACTCTGTGCGAGACTGCTACGAAGGTGATACTCCAGGCTGGGCCTGGGGAGCTCAGCGGGGACCCTCAGCCTCACACATGCACACCTACCTGCACACACTTCCCCCACCATCCCCAAGGTGCCCTGTCTCATCTGGGACCTGCTTCAGGGGTTGCACAGTCTGCAACCTCGGTGCCTGGGATTCACAGTCTGAGTAAGCTCACCCCCTTCCCCGGGTATGCTGAGTGGATCTGGTGGTGCCTGCATGCAGAGGGGTTCCACGTCCGACCCTCACTGTCACCCCTCTGCCCCTGCAGCATTTGTCATCTACAGTTTCCTGACCTTGTGCTTCCAATATCTGGGGGGAGAGAGCGCCATCATGGCTGAGATCCGTGGCAAACCTATCAGGTGAGTCCATCCCAGGCGGGATCCAGCCAGACCACACTGGAGAAGCCCCAGTTATCGTCCTAGTGGCCTTAATGACCTCTTCCTCACACACAGGTCCAGCTGCTTCTATGGGACCTGTTGCCTCCGTGGCATGTCCTATTCCATCACTTTCTTACGTTTCTGCAAACAGGTGAGGGGACCTGCCCACCCCACCCCAATGCCCTTGCCCCACCCCATCCCCATCCCAGCCTCACTCCTTTCCCCCACCCCTCCCAGGCCACACTACAGTTCTGCATTGTGAAACCAGTCATGGCTTTGATCACCATCATCCTCCAGGCTTTTGACAAATACCACGATGGGGACTTCAAGTAAGAGGGGCTATGAACAGGTGCCTCACTGGGGCTGTGGGAGGCAGGGCTCCCCACAGGTCCTTCCTCAAAGGGCCTTATTCCCCCTCTCTGTGGGCTATAGCTCAACTGGCAGAGTGTTTACCCAGCATGCATAAGTGTCTGGGTTCCATCCCCAACTTCATATAAACTAGGTATGTTGGTACACACTTGTCATCCCAACATTTGGGAGGTTGATGTAGGAGTATTAAAAGCTGGAGGTCATCCAGCTATATAATGAGTTTGAGGACAACCTGGGCTACATGAGATCCTGCCTTAAAAACGAAAGAAAGGAACACTGAAAGAAAGAAAGAAAACAAAAAAGACATCGGCTAAGGTTGTGGAGTGCCTAGGAGGACAGGCAACAGCTCTAGGGGAGGGACCTGAACCATGTCCTACTCCTGAGTGGGAACTCCAGGCCCTCCAACCGCTGCTTGCTTTCCACTGTCTGAGGTTCTGGAGGGAGGATCTAGGTGGATCTGTCCTGGGCTTATGGTGCCCAGCCAAGGGACAGGCTAAAACTATGACTATGAGGGACAGGGTCTACTCTAACCAGCACCTCCTTTGGCCCAGCATCCACAGTGGCTACCTGTATGTGACCCTCGTGTACAACGCCTCGGTTAGCCTGGCTCTCTACGCTCTGTTCCTTTTCTACTTCGCTACCAGGGACCTCCTGAGGCCCTTCGAGCCGGTGCTCAAGTTCCTCACCATCAAAGCCATCATCTTCCTCTCCTTCTGGCAGGGTGCGTGAGCTGGGTGGGCAAGGGTGTGGGGCCAGGACTGGCATCCCTGGAACCTGGGTTCAAATCTCACCTCCATCTCAGCCCTGTGTGTCTCAGCATCCCTAACCTTACCAAAAGTCAATAGCTCAGCTGCTCAGCTTGGAGCTGACAGAGCCTGGGGTGGGGGACAGTGAGGTCTATCAGCAGAAGGAGGCTATGGCTTGGCTTCTTGAGCCCTGGTCCCCACCAAGCCCAAGCAGGCCATGAGAACACAGTTTTCATGGTCTATAGCATAAGATCTGGGGTCCCTAGGCCCAGATTGGATATGTCTGGGAGAGCAACAGGAACCCTGGTTTTGAGGTAACCAGCCCTTCTCAACCACGGCCCTTCCACTAATGTGGTCAGTATCAGAGGCCCAGGGATGAGCTAGCCTTTTCCCCTTCATACCCTGCGCTTCAGTAAGAACTTTGTGAGGACTCCATTTCCATACAAGGATGGGGCCTGAATGGTTGTTCCTGTCTCTAGGAATGCTGCTGGCCATCTTGGAGAGGTGTGGGGTCATCCCCGAGGTTCAGGCCGTGGATGGCACCAGGGTCGGGGCTGGTACCCTGGCCGCTGGCTACCAGAATTTCCTCATCTGCATTGAGATGCTGTTTGCCTCCCTTGCACTGCGATATGCCTTCCCCAGCCAGGTGTACTCAGAGAAGAAGAACTCACCAGGTGAGCTGGGCCCCATCAACCAGGGGCATCTTTGATGGCTCAGCCATGATTTCTAGGACTCACCAGGGGGACATCCCTGTAGGCATCTGAGCCAGACAGGCCAGGGGGATTATGAGCTCTGAAAGATGTGAATGGAAGAAGACACTCTCTTAGGGCTCCTTGGTGCTTGGGGAAGGTGTCAAAAAGGAGCTGGGTGGGCTAGCCTGATGAGTGTGCCATATTGGCTACATGGCTTGTAGCTGTCTGGCTCCCATCTGCTCAAGGTGAAGGGCTTCCCTGGGCAGGAGTCTATTCAAGGATAAGCTCTAAGACCAATGCTGAGATGCAGGAGTCTATTCAAGGATAAGCTCTAAGACCAATGCTGAGATGCAGGAGCTGAGCTGAGACTCAGGCATCGGAGGTTACCTGCTAGCTGGTGGCAAGGCCTGGACATGCAGGATCCCCAGACTGAAATAGCCCAAGGTGGCCTGTGGGAGCCAAGGCTAAGGGTAGATAAAGTGGGATGCTGTGGACCAGGGGACCTGTGACTCAGGCCCACATGCTCTACCTTCCAGCCCCACCAGCACCTATGCAAAGCATATCCAGTGGCTTGAAGGAGACCATCAGCCCACAGGACATTGTCCAGGATGCCATCCATAACTTCTCACCAGCATACCAGCAGTATACACAGCAGTCCACACACGAAGCCCCTGGGCCTGGCCAGGGTGAGCACCCATCGCCCAACACTCACCCTGGCCCAGCCAGCAGCTCTGGAGGGGGTAAGAAGAGTCGCAACATAGAGAAACGCATGCTGATTCCCTCAGAGGACCTGTAGGGGCATGGGGTGTGTGGAGCCTAGCTGGCGACCCACCCATCAGCATCCCTTGACAGAGGCCCAGCCTCTTCTGAGAGCCTCACTGCAGGGTGCATGGAGCCTCTCTATTCCATGTCTAGCCCAGAGTGAAGTCACCTGGGCAAAACCAAAGACCCTGTGAGATGTCTTAGTTACAGCCTGCAGGTGGAGCTATGAGTTGGCCCTTCCTTCCTTCCACGGGCAGAAGAAAACAGATGGTTAGAAACCAGGCTGTATCACTGTAGAGAGAGATGGCCAGGGAGAAAGGGCCCAGTCACTCAGGGCTGGGGAGCCACACAGCCTGGGCATAGTTGTGGCTATCTTGTGTGCATGAAGAAGGTCCCTTGCCCCTTGTTTAAGCACAGATATTTGGCAAGGCCCTCCCAGGCACAGCCTACCCTATTTAGCACAACAGAGTTGCCAGTGTGCCAGCCTACCAGCTACTAACTGCTTATTTATAGATAAACGTTGCATTTTCTAGAGTTTATTGGGCTTTGTTTTCTTGCGGGATTTGTCTTCTGAGTGGTAGATCACTAAGTGGTGGGTTCACTGGAGCCCATAGGGTGAGACTGGGTGCCAGAAACAGCCAAGGCGGATATCATGATGTGGCTCAGAGCAGTACAGGGCAAAGAATGTGGACTTTGCCCCCAGATGAGCAGCTCTGTGTGACAACAGGAGCTGGGGCTGTCACCTCCCTTTGGCCACACCCCAAAGTGGTTTATAAGGCTCATGCCACAACCTAGCAGGCCCTGGTGTGGGGATTCAGGCCTGGGAGCCCCCCGTCTCTCCGGTCTGTGTACCTGGCCCAGCGCTCAGGGAGTCTGAAATAAGCTAGACTGGCCTTGAAAACATGGAGGACAAAAGTAGCAGGGGTAGGGAGTCAGCGACCAGCTGCCCCGGGCAGGCAACCAGACAGAAATGCCCCGTGGAAGCCACCCAGGAACAGCATCACTTGCCTGGTTGCCAGCTCCCACAGTCCACAGTATCAGACAAGGGGGCTGTACTTCCCTGCCTTCCTGTTTTCAGGGCTCAGAGACAGGAGGAGTCAAGGCCAGTGGCTTCTCCCTGACCCTCTGGGCTGATAAGATAGACTCTATTCCTCCCTGCACCTGGCTGTAAAGAGCCACCCACACCTACTTATCTGCCTTCTGGGACTGACAGACCCACAGGGTGGCCCTGCAGCCCACACAGCAGGGCAAGAAGGGGCTCTGTATCTAGAGGCTGTGACAGGCTTCGTGCTGGTCTTCAAATATGAGGTTTAGGGCTTGGCCAGCAGGGGGCTGCATTCCTCTGCCCTGGAGAGACCATGTGCAGTGACAAGCTAGGTAGGGTCCCCTCCCATAAGCCCAGATACAAAGTTAAGTTCCTGGGCCTTGGGCAGTATTTGGGGTCTATACTTTAGAGAGAAGACAAAATTGATGTCACTAAACACTCACACATACACCAGGAACCTCTGAACCCTGGTACTGGGGAAGGTGTGCCAACCAAAGAAATTAAACAAGTTGCCCAAGGTTACTGAGCCAGTAAGGGATGATGCCAGTGTGGATCACTGTGCCTTGCATCCCTCTCCCCCACCACCTGCATTCAGATGTGCTTCAGACCATCATGACACAAAACAAAACTGAGCCAGGGATAACATGGCACCCAGGGCTCTAGTGGAATGTGGCTACAGACTGACTCAGATGTGGCCTGGCCAAGGTGCTCAAAGAGTGATGGGGAATGGTTGGAGTACCGGGGGAGATGGGGCTTCAGTCTCATTGCCACTGTGAAAGGACCAATTGCAAGTCCAGCCCATAGGGCCCAAGGAGGGGGCTGCTTGCCATGCAGTAACTGGGCTTATCCTGGTACAACCTTCTGTTATTTCATGTGTGTGCATGTGCATGTATGTATGTATGTATGTATGTATGCATGTGTGTATACATTTGTAAGGTCAGAGGTCAAATCTTATTTTCCACATGAATTTTTGGGGCAGGGTCTCTCACTGAATGTAAAGCTTCATCAATTTGGCTAGGCTTGCTAGCCAGTGTGCCTCAAAGATCTGCCTGTCTTCACCCCTACAATTGCTAGGATTACACACGTGACGATACATGTAAACTCAGGTCCTCACATTTATATGGCAGGCACTTTACCAAAGCCTTCACACTAGCCTCCACTCTTGAGATAGGGTCTTACTTTGTAGCTTAAGCTGGCCTGGAACTCACTATGTAGCCAAGGCTACCCTTGTACTTGGAGTGGTCCCTCCACCTCATCCTAACTACTAAGGGCTCCGGCCATTTAGAACCTGTCCTGACCTCTGGTCCATGTGTGAGGTGACCCATGTAAAACACTGTGCTGAGGGCCTGGGAGTGGACCTTTTATAGTCTGTCTGTCCAGAGGCTGTTACCACTCAGGAGTAGGAGTAGGCTATAGACTGGGTCCCAGAGGTTCTGGGGTCAGCTGTCGAGAAATCTGGCCTAGCTAGACTGTTTCTGTCTTGAAACACACCAAGTAGGCTAGGCCAGCTGGCCCGTGAGCCTGAGATCTCCTTATCTCTGCCTCCCTTTCACTGAGATTACAAATATGCACCTGGCTATTTTGTGTGGTTTCTAGGGATTGAACCCAGGTCCTCATGCTTGCAAGGCAAGCACTTTACTAAATCAACTGAGCTTTCCCTAGCCCTAGTCAGACTTCAGAGCATTCTGTTAGCTTCAATGAACTGGAGCATTGCTCTGTGCCCTACTTAGACCCTACCTGTCCTGAAATGTCCTGTATGTTCATCCTAGATCCCAACCAACACTGCTCAGGGGCCAGGGGTGAAGTAGGTGTTTGGTCCACCCTATGAGAAAGGGGTAGCTTATGTCCCTGAGGTTTCCAACTATAAAACAGAAGTTGCATTGGCCATCATAGGCCTCTTGCCAGGGTAGCCTGGACATTCAGATATATCTGCAGGTAAGTCAGGAGTACAAGTGGGAGGTGTCACCTTGTAGTAGTCCCTACATCTCGGGAGGCTCCCGGGGAGTACCCAGGTGTGCAGAATAGAAAGCTAGGGCCTGCCCAGGCTGTAGGGCAGGATGCAGGGTTCCCAACCACATCACCATCCACACACCGGAAGCATCTCAAACAGGAAATTCTTTATTGCAAAGATACAAAAGCAGTCACGCGACATGTACAGCAATAAATTAGGTGGTGGCCATGAGGCGGGGCACAGACAGGGGGTCAACAGTCTGTGATCTCTTCCCAATAATTTATAACATGGGGGAGGAAGCACAAAAAATAAATATTGAAATGAAACTGCCAAGTAGCAGGTGGCTGGGGACACCAAGCCTCTGCATGGTCAGCATGTGTCCCTGTCACCTTTTGAAAAAATAAAGCTTGCTTTGAGAAGTCGGAGGAACAAGATTTTTATCTTAAATAAAAACATCTATATATTAAATTGTGACAATGACATGGAACCATGGGGCATGCTGGCACCTTTCCCAGCCCCCTCCAGGCAGGTACTCCAAGTGGCATTGAAAGCCCCATCTAGCCTGAAGGCCAACAGTATGGAGCCTCTACCCAGGAGATCACCACAGGCCAGGAGTGGGCAACAATCCACAGTCACTGGTCACCTGCCTACCGCTGTAGCCCACCCTGGAGACCCCTCAACAGTGACACCTGCTGGTGCAAGCTTCACCAGTGACCCAGCATGCCTAGCACCACCACAGAAAGACTGAGGGAGGCTATTGGCACTCTGGGCCTCCATCCATGGCCAGTTCCCCACCCCACTGTCCAACCTACTCTGCATTAATAAAAGATCTATAGTATCAAACTGGGAAAGAAAATTGTTATGAAAAATCTGTACGATAAAATGTGTATATAATTATATATATATATATCTTCTCTCTCTTTAAATATCCCATGGTCCTTATTGATATCCAATATGGATTACCTACCAAGGCTATGGTTCCAACAGTGCTTTCTAAGTGCCTGGCTTTGGCTCAGCCTGCCCTTGACTCCCTGCCCACCATACTCCTCAGGGTTTGGAGGACATAATTCCTTCAGTAAAAAAAATCACAAGGTGCCCAATGACCTAGAGCTCTGTGAAGGAGGGATAGGCAGGTAGCAATTGGGCACCAAAGTTACAGAGTATCTGCACCTATAGTCTGCCCTGGGCCCCCACTGACACCCACAGAAGCGTGTCCGCAAGGTCCTCCAGATGCACGCTTTTAGTCCCTCCACACCATTCCTCTTAGGCCCCTTCCACATCCCGTGGGTCTGGGCGGTCAGGACTCTACCCTGTCCTTCACCTCATTCCTGGTTTTTCCCCCAGCAATAAGACACATCTTAACTGCCATTTCTATTATCCCTCAATATCTCCCAGGCTTCACCTGCTCCCCACATCAGCCTCTCCTGTCTTCTAAGCCCCAGAGAACCCAAGCCCCACTGTTTGCTGCTCTGTGGACGAGGGGGGGGGGCTGCACCACAATGGGCAGCCTCCTTAGCTAACAGACCCCCCCCAGGTTCATTCCAGGGCATCTGTGCAACCCTCAGCACACATACTGGACAGGCTCTCCTGTGTGGACACCTGGCCCAGTAGCTTACTGTCTTATCATACACACAGGACACGTACTAGCCCCTGTAGGTGGCTGTACTGGGAACCTGGCTCTAAGGGCTAAAGCAGGTTGTAGTGCCCTTTGATAAGGACAAGAAGGCCATAGCCCAGAAAGTGACAGTATGGTATCCACCCCAGCTGGAGGCCCTTAGAGGATGCTGCTGATGGCGCTGACAGACAGGCCCCGGAGAAGTGGGAGTCGAGTCCTCACTCCCTGCCACAGGGGCCTGGAGTTGTTCGCCCTAGTGGCCTGCGTGCGTGGTTCCTGTCAGCAACTAAAAACACACCCCTGGGGGAAGGAGAGGTGTGAGTGGGGTTACTTGTGGCACTGGCTCATGAGAGCCTCCCTTTTATCCTGCACCTGCCTGTCCTGCTATCCTTGCCTCCAGCCCTGCAGGGTCCACAGTGGGCAAGTGGACATGTGGAATCTGTGCCAGGGAGCCCGGGATAGGCGTGAGGGCTGTGCCACTGCCCGCGCCCCGCCCGGCCCCAGCAGGCACTAGGAGGCAGCTGAGAAGGGCACAGAGGTGGAAGAGATCTCGGCAGATTTGACGATGGTGATGACACTGGTGGTGGCCACCTTGGTGGGTGTGACAGGCCCTCGGGCCACAGTGCGAGCGAAGGTCTGCAGGGCCTCGTACTTGGAGCGCAGGGCATCCAGCTCCAGCCGCATGCTGCTGTTCTCCCGGGCCAGCTTCTCTACTTCCTGCTGCAACTCTACCCGCTGCCGCTCCAGCTCCTCCTTCTGTGTCACACGCTTGATGCGACAGCTAGCTGCGTAGCCGCGGTTCTTGAGTGTGCGCCGCCGCTGCTTCAGCCGAGTCACCTCCTCCTTGGTGAGCCCCCGCAGGTGCTGGTTCAGCTCCCGCACTGACATGGACACCAGCTCATCGTCACTAAGCACCGGGGCGT